TTTTTTTAACTATTAATAAATAATTCCATACTTTTCTTGCTTTCTAATTTTATTTCATCTTGGAAAATTAATCAAGAAATTCTTATTTCTCATCTTTGACTTTTTCATTGTTCTTTATGATACAGGAATATCCTGACTATGGAATGTTTTCTATAATCTTTTACTAAATGATAAAAATAATTCATCAGTGAATTTAGACTATTACAAGATGATTATAAAAATCATTTTCCTTAGAAGTAGATCTCTTAGAGTTTACTTAACAAGGGAGTAAAGGATATGGATAAAATCTTACTAAAAATCAGAACAAATTTTGGGAATATTTGGACAGAATTGTAGGATACATAAAGAAATGTACTTTTATTTATGTACAACTAGATTAACTATGTATTATCAAATAGAAGACCATTTGGGAGTATACTTATAAATAGTAGGTAAGAATAATAAGTATTAGCAAAATAGTAGTCATTAATCTGTACTTTGATCACTTGAAAAAATTGTGTTTAAGGAGATAAAATCTTCTCCTTTATCTTGATGATACTATTTGTTTATCAAACATTAATAGCTTATATATCAAAGATACTCAATACATAATGTGCATTTTTTGGCCTTTTATCTATTTTAAAAGTCCATAAATAAATACTTATTGTTTTTAGAAAACAAATTTGAAAAATAATTAAAAACAAAGGCTTTTTTTGCAGGTGTGATAAATAAATATCTCTGATTTATTCCTTAATGTGAATAACTTAAATTCTCAATTTTTTTGAGTTTTTGTTTTATAAGGTGCTTATCTTTAGTTGGAGAAAGGGAATTAGGGTTATAGATATTCTCCTATATTAGTCAGTATTAATTAATTAAGCTTTATTTACAAATGATGGAATGTTGTACTCTGCCCTAAAATTACCCAGTTCCAAAATGGGTAATTTTTACCTTGAATACTAGGTATTTACATTCAGATGTGTCGGTAACACAAGCACAGAAGAAAGATACTATGTCTCATATAAAAGAGTTATGTTTTTCTTTAAAATTTTCTGTCTAATCTCTTCGATATATTTTTGTTTTCTTTGGAATTTTTATGCATGGAAGAAAAAACATTTAAAGTTATTTGATGGCAAAGTGCCTTCATTATATTTCTTCTAAAGAAAGAAAATATTGAATTTATTTTTAATCAGTCTTTCAGGTAGGCTTAGAAATTTATAACAAAACTATATATACTTTTAGCAGACTGATCTGTTGTTCCAGGTATGACTAATTTGAGAGAACACAAAAGGTATGATTGGATTATATTCATAATAAATAGTCTATTTATATGGCTTTTTTTTTTTTTTTTTTTTT